TTTTTTTTTTAAATATTCCTAAAATTTTTTGTTACCGAATAATCGCAAATTAAATAAAAGAAGCACTTTATTTAACTTCGATGCTCATAATTTCGTTAAAAATCATCGTGTAATGTACCACAATTTAAAAAACAAATTCTGAGACTTTGTTCTATTGAATAGTATAATTACGAAATTTTTAAAAAAGTATTTCTTAAAAATCTGTAGACATGGTATAAGTGAAGTAGCACTACAAATTTTTGTTCCAACTCGATTATAAATTTTTTTCTATTATTTAAAAAAAATTAAAAATAAATATTAAAATGGAAATGCGTGTTCACAGACATTGCGGCCAAGTAAAAATAAATTTAATTGAGGTGGTCAGTACAAAGATTCTATTATAGAGATTAGACTTCAAATCAAACAAGATTTGCATTTGTGTTTAAATATGTGTGTCTCGCGATTAATTAACTTTAAAAAATATTACCTTTTGGAAAAAAAATTTTAAATGGATATTAAAATGGAAATTTGACATTTATTTAATAATTAGAAACGAAACATAATTTTGGTACTTGTTTTACTATTGAATTTTTCGTTATCGAACGCGTCACGGATTGCATGAATACCGTTACGTCAATGCGATGTTCGATCTGTCGCAAATATTTGCAAAAGTCGGCGCGTCATGGTCATTCGGCACGCAACGAATGTAACACATTTGCTTGTATAATTAGAATACTAGGACTGATCATTGTTAGCACTTAGTGTGCAACACTATAACTATCGATTAACTGACGATTAATATATATCAATTTTTTTCATTTAAATAGATAAATCAAAAATTGATTTGTTTTGAAAAAGAATTTTATTAAAATCATAAAGATAGTGAATTCTAAATATGTTAAAAACACCAAAGACATTTCTTTCTACAATGTGTGTGGAACATGAACTTTTTATTCCAATTCATCACAATATTTCTAAAAAGCTACAATAATATAACTATAGTGAACTGTAGTCTATTATATAGTGTGTCCGGTGAATACACCTAATATTCGAATAAATGAATAAAAAATGAATGAAAATACTCATTCAAATACACTTCTTTTTTATTCATCAAGAAACGAATAAATATTTTTTCATTCCATTTGGATGAATATTTTTTGAATATCATTACGAATATTTTCGTTTCGTATTCACTTTTACTCTGTATTATCTGCAGAAAGCTTGCAAGCCTGCAAGAGAAAATAAATCTATAAAAACAATAGCTACGATTACACTGTGCGCTTAGTTCGCGACTTATACGAAATGCGTTCTTGTTTAATCTATAGGTTAAATAGAGACATTTTTATTGGGAATAAATAATATATATCTCGGAATTTAAAGTCCACAGACCATAATGAAGGACCTGCCCGAGATATCTTATAAAATGTTTATAACATTACTGTGATGTAACCGGAATTATATTGAAATATGTATGGCACAAATAGATATTTATAAATAAAAAATGTATTGCTTTCTAAAATATTTTTCATAATTTCTAGTTTCCTTCATAAAATTTGAATATTACAATGACAAAAATAAATAAAATTCATTTTTATTTTTTACTTAAAGTCATCACAGTGCCGGTTATAGTTAAGGGGTAACGATTGCTTATTGGAGCTTTTTTTTCAGTTTATATTTTGTTTGAATGAATATGAATACTCGTTAAATATTCATAATTTTTTTGTGAATAAATATTTTTAAAAAACCCAAAATTTTGAATGAATATATGATTACATTTTTTTTATGTGAAAATTTTGAATAAATATAATTTGGAGCTCAATTACAAATTTTTGTATTCATCGGGCACACTACTATTGTATCATATTTTATGTCTATTACTCTGTTAACATGTAGTCTTTTCAATAAAGTAAATTAATAAAGTTTTTTAATAAAGTAAATTAAATAATAATTCAAATTGTTCGAAAAAATTTTTTTAGCTCTAATTTAATTTAATTTATTAGAAAGAATTTATAAATCTTAATTTATTAAATTAAATAATCCCTAAGAGAAAAACTTTAATAATCTTTGTAATTCAACACATAGATATTCGATCTTTGACAATTTGTCTAATGTTGTTTCCTATCCATCCACGTCATGAAGCAACATAAATAATTCTTGTTGTGACCGTCATGGAAAAATAAGGTGTTTACGGGCAAAAAGATCGTCGTACGATTAGGGGGATATTTATAACCGCAGAGATATCACAATAGGTCTATATATAACACGGCTATACAAACGATGCGTACGTAAATCGGAATAAGTAAATAAACACGCAATACTGATCGCTTAAAGTGCGAATATCAAAGTATCAAGTATCAAAGGCGTGGGAATGATTTACGTTTCGAACATGCCAAACGGAGTATCAACAGAAAGATGAGAGTGTAAATATTGATAAAGAAAAAATTATAACATTATGAAATCATGTAAACATTGTCTTAAAATTTCGAAGATATCTCATAAAAGATATACCAGAAAAGATTCATATGACGTCTTTAAGATACTTAGTCTTCTGATTTTTTACGTCTTTGAGATTTTATTTTAAGTTGTCTTTAATGTTTTATCTAGGTCGTTTTTTTAGGTATTATATTTCAATGATATCGTTTAGATATAGTAATATGTATGTACAAATTAATGGAAAGAGTTAAGAATCGTTTAATAAATCGATATATCAATAATTTAACGTCCATAAATTTTAATAATGACTAACAATTTAATATCCATTAGTTGAAAATTTTATATAGTTTATTATAACTACATGAAATTTTCAACTAATAAATATTAAATTGTCATTATAATTTATGCACGTTAAATTATTGATATATTGATTTAGCAAATAATTCTTAGCTCTTCTTTCTGTTTGTATACATGTATATATTACTATGTATCTAAATTATAAATATACATTATATGTATATAATAAAAAATAAAATTGAATCAGTCGATGAGCTGATGCCTTTGAGAGCCAAGCATAGAATACTGATGTGAAATAAGATTTATTTTTATTCACATAGATTCATCTCTAATGGATCTTGATTCAACATTATTTAATTTATATTGATAAAATTGAAGTTTTTAAAAATAGCATAAAGTATTATTCATCAAAAGAATTAATAGAAAGAACAAAAGAAAAAAATAATATAACTTCATGCTATTTTTAAAAACTTTAATTCTTGTTTCTTTTTAATTTCATTTATAAAAGTAAGGGATTGTAATTAAATTTAAGTTTAATTATGACCAAGTTAAATTAATATTTAACTAATGCAGTTGATTTTATTTTTTACAAATTCGTCAAAATAAAAAATATCAAAAAATGATGAAGTATCAAGAGAATATAAGTTGCAAAAATTTTTTTATTGAATATCAAAATATTGTTCAACAAAATCATATTCTAATTTACATGAACTTTTTAGATTATATAACATCAATACCTTTCACATTTCCATTTATTTGTATTCATAAAAAATATATTATCAATTATATGTGTATTATATTAATTAACAAAATAATATTAATTTTTATTGAATACATGTATGTACATTCAAAGTCGCAAACGCTATACACGCACAGCTTAAACATAATTAATATATTCTATCGTATTGTAATTACATTTTCTATGATTACTCATTCGGTATCAAGTAAAGGAGTATGCACATTTTCTGGATTGAAGGGAATATTACTTTTATTGCCGGGTAATAGCATAGGTATAACTTTAACACGAAATTCATACGGTAAAAAATCCTGACAGAAATGATAAAAGTCCATACGAGTATCGATAAGTTTCAAACGAGCCATTTCCTTCATCAGAGTCTTTAATTCGGTCTTATAATTTTCGTAACTCTTACGACGTTCAATAATAGCTACTACCTTAGCTAATTCCTGCACGAATTTCTCGGATTTCACTCTCGTGGCCAGTTTGTACTTTGGTTCCAAGTGTTTCCACAGAAACTTGTAAAGACGATCTGTGACCCAATGTTTCGGACGAGGAAGCCTTGGTGGTCTATACACCTTTCCATTTATTAGAAATGCCTTATCCACTACTACCGTAGAATTTATGAGCGGCTTCTTTTTCTTCTTCGTATCTTGTTTAGGTATAACAAATTTCATTCTTTCATTTTTTACTGCAAATTCTTTCTTATCGATCGGGTTTATTTTCATCGCGGCCATCTCGCGACTCTTCAGCTTTTCCAATTCCATTTTAATCTTCTTCATTTTCTCACTGTCAAAGACTGGCGACTTTTGCGAGGGTTCGCTTAGTTGTTTCGTCAAAGTTTCTTTTATTTTGAAAAAATCATCTATTTTCTTTAGTGTCTTAGATGAACTTTGCTTATTGGAAGAAATATCTTTACTTGACGATTTAGTCGGCGTATTGCGATAGTTTTGAGACTTGCCCAAACTTTTTTGTCTATGTGCAATTTCTCTGTCCTTAATGCTGGTTCTATTTGAACTCTGCACACTTTGCCGATTTATTGTTTTACTTGTTCCAGGTTTTGTTAAAGAATTTCGCTGAATTGTTTGTATCGCAGGTTCTGCATCTTCGTCATCAATCGTTTCTTTTTCAGTTGGTAAAGTGCTTTTCAGTGTTCCTATATTTGTATTACCTTTAGAATGTATATTTGCTCTCGTTATTGTGTACGATATATCATCACTTGTTTCTGAGTCTACATTTACATTATTGTCTTCTTCAACATCGGCGATCAAATTCATAGATCGCTTAGAGACTTCCATATTTTTACTCGTAGGTTTCAGTGTTTCAGATTGATTTCTTGAATTGTTATGCGTCAAATGATCTTTCTTACTTGTTCCAGGTTTTGTCAAAGAATTTCGCTGAATTGTTTGTATCGCAGGTTCTGCATCTTCGTCATCAATCGTTTCTTTTTCAGTTGATAAAATGCTTTTCTGTGTTCCTATATTTGTATTACCTTTAGAATGTATATTTGCTCTCGTTATTGTGTACGATATATCATCACTTGTTTCTGAGTCTACATTTACATTATTGTCTTCTTCAACATCGGCGATCAAATTCATAGATCGCTTAGAGACTTCCATATTTTTACTCGTAGGTTTCAGTGTTTCAGATTGATTTCTTGAATTGTTATGTGTCAAATGACCTTCCTTACTAGGATTTGATTTGGACAATTGTTCGAGCATATTTGAATCATGTTTACTATTGGCATCACTGCGCGAATTATTAATATCTTCATGTACTTCTATATTCGCAGGCTTTGATGTTTTAGACCGATTTCTTAAACTATTACGCATCAAACGAGCTTCCTTACTAGAGCTTAATTTAGACGATCGTTTGAGCGTACTTGAATCATCTTCTCTACTTGCATTGTGTAAATTATCATTAGCTTCACGTACTTCTATATTCCCAGGTGTTTCAGACCGAGTTCTTAAACTGTTACGCGTCAAACGAGCTTCCTTACTAGGGCTTAATTTAGACGATCGTTTGAGCATATTTGAATCATCTTCTCTACTTGCATTGTGTAAATTATCATTAGCTTCACGTACTTCTATATTCCCAGGAGTTTCAGACCGAGTTCTTAAACTGTTACGCGTCAAACGAGCTTCCTTACTAGGGCTTAATTTAGACGATCGTTTGAGCCTACTCGAATCATGTTTTCTACTTACATCGTGTAAATTATCATTATCTTCACGTACTTCTATATTCACAGATGTTTCAGACCGAGTTCTTAAACTGTTACGCGTCAAACGAACTTCCTTACTAGGGCGTAATTGGGACAATCGTTTGAACATATTCGAATCGTGTTCTTTATTTACATCATTGCGCGAATTATTAATATTTTCATGTACTTCTATATTTGCAGGCTTTGGTGTTTCAGACCGAATTCTTAAACTGTTACGCGTCAAACGAGCTTCCTTAGTAGGGATTAATTTAGACAATCGTTTGAGCGTACTTGAATCATGTTCTCTACTTGCATTGTGTAAATTATCATTAACTTCATGTACTTCTATATTCTCAGGTGTTTCAGACCGATTTCTTAAACTGTTACGCGCCAAACGAGTTTCATTATCAGAACTTGATTCGGATATATTTACATCTACGTCAGCATCGTCACTTACATCTTGTATTACTGTCTCATTAGTACTTAATCTACCGACGGGCGATATTGCGTTTGCATGTGCAGGTTCCTTCAAAGTTTTTTCCCTAATAGACTTGCGGCTGGAAATCTTTTCTTCTGACGATTTAGCTATTACATTCTTTTGAGAAATTGATTTTGATGTATTATTGAGATCGCTGTTTTCTAATAGTTTATTCTCGTCTTCCGGTAATATATTAGATTCCTTAGATCTACTTTTTTCGACGTTTGGTGACACCTGGAGAGATATTTCATAAAAATCTTCCTCATTCGTAGTATTACTCTTTTCTGATTGTGGGTCTTTCTGTGCTACTAAAGATTTACGTTCCTGGTTAATCCTTGTAGTTTCTCGCTCAAAAGAAGCACGATCATCTTCAGTTGAAACATTACTTCTTCTATCACCGGTATTACCTTGCTTAAAAATTTCTTCGAACGGATTAGTTGAGCGCTTACGGGAATAGTTTAGAATTTTTGATTTTGGGTTAAAAAATACGGACCTTTTCGTTCTGCGGGATTCATCATTATCCAAGTATGAGTTGCTCAAATTTGTTTCAATATTATCTTTGTCTTGCACAGATATGTCTGATTGCTGCTTTTTAGCTATATTTAAAGATGATCTTGAACTTTTACGAATTGTTGAACTTTCAGGTATAATATCGATGTTGGTCTTAGATCTTCTTAAAGGTAATGATCGTGACATTAAAGATCTACTGTTTTCCTTATTTGGATTAGATGTAGACAAACTTGCGTTACTGTCATCAATTAGAGCATCTGCAAAGGCATTTTTTCCTATGCTTTTCCGCGTTTGCTGCATAAAGCGAGATTTAAATTTTACATCTTGGTAATGTATAACGATGCTTTCATCGCTACTTTGAACAATCTCAGCATTATTCCGAGGCACTACCTTCTCAACATTTGGAGTTAAAGAACCAGTTTCAATATTTTCTACCGCTCTTATTGATTCCCTTTGATCGTCAATATGATCTTTACTCGTATTAATATTTCGGCACTTCGAGGATTCCTTTTCGAATGCGACTGATGTTTTAGCAGTGCTGCCATTCAAAACATCATCTTCCGATAGTACATCCTGAAAAGCGTTCTGATCTTTCCTACCACCTCCACTTCTTCTTGTTCTAAAAATATTTGGCTTTGATTTCAAAATCTTCGAAGTTGAGCTCGAATTACTATCCTCTTCATTTTCCTGCAACCTTCTTTGTGAAGATTCATTGTCTGAATCGCTATGTACTTCAGAGTGGACTTGTTTCATCCACAATTGTAATGGCATAGTTTCCTCGGAATCATTCAAAGCATTTGAAAAGGCATTGTTGACACTCTTCCTATTATTTGCTTTTAAACGAACCTTCCTCTTTCTTAAATCAAGCTCTTTCTCTGACTCAGATGACGAAGTTTGCAATATTTTTCTTTTAATTATTGCTAAAAAAATAATATATCTTGTAAGTTCTACAATATCTATGATGCAAAACTCCGTCTGTAATCATATTTTTACTTCCTCCATCCAGCCAAGTTTATTTTTACTGTACTTTTTTTACTCTAGTCTCAAAAAATGTGAAAAAAATTCAAGATTATTTTTCAACATCTCTATTACATTACCAACAGTTTTTAACATTTTAGGAGGGGGAACAGGGTAGCGATCATGTAACTTTTTCCCTAAGGCTGAAACATGAAAAGTAAAAATTTTTTGTATATATGTGTGTATATGTACAAACATACATAAAAATTTTTACTTTTCACGTTTCCATTCTAGCGAAAAAATTACATGATCGCTACCCTGAACTCTGTCCTGCTTTATTTTAGAGAAATCTGAGTGAAATTTCGCTCGCGTCAAAAAAAATCCAGATTGCAGACAAAGAGTTGAAAGATTTATTCTTTTAGCTGAACTTTTTGCACAGTTCACCTTTTCTCTTTCCTCTTCAATTTGAAAAGAAAAAGAAGAAAAGATAAACCATGAAAGACATTCAAGAACACCAAAAAGAATAAACTAAATATTCTGCCTATTTATACCTGCACTACGCCTTGAGCTTGTTGAAGCAATGGGTTCGTTATCAGAGTCCAAATTTTTCCACCATCCTGTAGCAACGGAACTCTGACTAGAATCAATCCTTGAATTGGCACTCAGCTGCCTAGCCGTTTCATTTTCATTGTAAATTATGGAATGCGGAGGGAACGTATTCTCCTCCAAGTTATTCCACCAAAATGTTTGTTCTGCAGAAAGAAGAAAATCATATCAAAATCATAAAACCATTTGATTTTTAATTTGCCTGTAACAAAGATAATGTCCTAAAACGAAGTTGCTTATTTGCTATAGTAACATAATTCGAGAAACGGTTTTCAGAAAATCAGTTTCAACATTTTCAATTATTAAAATGTTATAATACTAAATTTGAAATATAATTTCAATGTAATAATTTATAATAATAATACATAATAAACACAATAATTATAATAATTGTTGTGGAATAAAAGTGTATTCTTTTAAAATATGTTGTTTATTTTCTTTGATGTTTCTGTTGATCTTCTGCAAGCAACGCAAAAACGACGATTTTTTTAAGTTATGTCCTAGCAAATGAACGAAATGATGAAGGAAAGATATTCCTACCTTCATCTACGATGGCTGTATCAGGATCGAGATGTCCAGAACCGAAGGAGTCGGTGGATCTATGCTTGGAGTATCGTCGGGATACACGATTGAAGGATTTTCTCTTGGCCATGTTTATGAAGAAATGTGTTCTACACGATGAAAAAACAACTAGGTTATCTTTACGTGATTGTATATACAGTTTAAAGTCACTTGAGAATGCTTGAGGTTTTATTTACAAGCTTCGACTCGAGCTTGAACAACTATTTTGTTGTCACATTGCGAAAATCCGCGCAAATTCTTAAATCATTGAACGTTGAATGCAATGGTGCCAGATTCTGGCTTGCGCTACCAAAAGTACTAAACGCGTAGCGCGTGATGGGGGAAGAGTGGGGGTAGTTGCAGATAGCTCTCTCCAACGCGCTTGATAGAATGAATAGGAGCTAGAATGGTAGGAGCATGTTGGATGTTGCGATGCGAACAAACCTTATTGCTTAATTCACACTGGACGCAACAAGTGTCAAGCAATATTGTTTACGCCACTGTAAATATCGCTTCACTGATTGGTTGCTGTTCCGCTGCTCGACTTGTTGCGTCTAGAGGTCTATCTACTTATCTAGGCCTCTAGCTGCATCCAGGGTGAATTAAGGTGCATTCACATGTAAGCGTCAAGCGTCAAGCAGCGGAAGCAGCAATCAATGGGCGAGTTCAAGACAGCAAAGCAGCTAGGCATGCTTACCGAGCGATTGAATATGATTGGTTGGATCTATAAGTAATAACCAATTATGTTCATTTGCTCGGCGAGCAGGCTAGCCGCTTTGTC